CTGGGATCCTGAGCTCCTGGGATCCTAAATCCAGAAAGTGCAGACGGTCCGATCTGCTGGACGCCCTCACAGCCATTGCAGTGGCTTTCAGGCAGAGGGGATTTTGGAAGGGAAACCGAAGTGATTTTTCTGCGAAATTGGACTCAATATGTTATAAATCCTGGTTTCTTCAACCAGTATTTAAGATGTTGGAGAAACACAGTGAGATCGTTTCTACTTAGTTCATTTATGCATGTGTCAATAAGAAAACCGATCTTTCCAGTGATTTGACAGGTCGTGCTCAGGATCAAAGAATAAGTGACAGGCGACTGCAGGCGAGTGCGACTTCTAAATTGAAGCTCTTTAGCTGGCAAACTCTTTTAAGTGAAAACAGACGACCTCTTAAATGAATTTCCAGATAACCTTAAATTACACAAATACTGTCGATCTAAACACGTTTGAGTTGCTGGAAATCGAAATGTCTTACACTTTGGTGCTTTAGTTTGTCATCGACGATTGCAATATCAAACAATCTTGCTCAGAAACTGTTCAGCTCTCTTTCCTTCCTGTGCTCCTGCACGTAACACTCTTAGTTGTAAGAAAGATGAAGTCTAGGGGGTAAAAAAACATCGGAAGAAAAATTTCCCTAAATAATAAAAACATTTGTACCGAAGAAATTCCCTGTAGGCTAATTCCGTGATTCACTGGGCTTCCAGAGTTGTTAAAAATCATGATCACAATCCTAACCAGCAGGAAGGGTGAGCTTTAGTTCCCTTTCCTGTAGTTACCTTGATGCATTAACACACAGGAGCTATGAAAAGTAAACTGTAAATATATAATCATGGAAACATTATGTAGACCTGTACTTAATTTTTTAATCTAGTAGAAATTGGGTTTAAAATTTTAAATTCAAAACTACAAAACTGGCCCTGGCCAGTTTGCTTAGTGGTTAGAGCGTCAGATCTTGGGTTGGGTTCAGGCAAAGGGCAAGGACCTGGGTTGCAGGCTCAGCCCCCTGCCCTGGGGCACATTCAGGAGGCAACCAACCGATGTGTCTCTTTCACATCACGTTTCTCTCTCTCTGTCTGTCTGTCTCTCTCCGTTTCCACGCTCTCTGAAAAGGAATGGAAAAAATATCCTCAGGTGAGGATTCAAAACACAACCTACAAAACTGCACCACATTGTTGAATGTGCTTAGGTCACTGAATTGTACTCTTAAATATAGTTAAAATGGTAAACCTATGTATCTTTTACCAACATAAAAAAAAATAAAATAAAGTTATAAAATTACAAAACGAAACCAGTAAATAATTCAGAGAAATATATTTTTAAACGTAGAAAATGAAATAGCAAAATATATTTAAAGAACACTACCTTGTTTATATATTGCTTTTAAAATAAGCTCTACATGCTTTTAATGACATGACTATCTGAATGATTGAAAAATAATTATAGCCCGGCCGGGCATGGCTCACTTCTGTGCAGCCAGATTTCAGGAGGCTCTGAGTGAGGGTGGTTCTGTATTTTAGTTGTAATTTTGATGTGGTTGCGGGAGGCGGCGGGTGTAGCTGTGACCTACGCCTCCATCTTGTTTTCCTCCGAATCACTCTTATTTTAAATGATAAATAAGAACACGGAGCAGAAGACAAGCCATTTTCCATGGAGGACTCATTTAGTGCCCACCCAAGTGGCAGGTCCCAGTTTCATAGCTGCAGTGCTAGTGGTACTAGTGACGCTGGTGGTGTCAGGGGGTTCTTGTTACTCTTTGGGGAGAAGAAAGTTGAGTAGGGTGTGAATTTTTAAAAAATTTGAAAAAAAAGAGTGGGTAATAACCCTTCAAAATCATAGTGAGAGACTTATTCTCTGCTTACTTATAAATATCTCCTTACCATATGCTCTGAACTAAATTAGATGGAGTTTGGTTAATGCATATCTTTTTTCTTTTTTTTTTAAATATATCTTTATTGATTTCAAGAGAGAGGCAGGGAGAGAGAGAGAGATAGAAACATCAGTGATGAGAGAGTGGTTGATCAGCGGCCTCCTGCACGCCCCTGACTGAGGATTGAACCCGCAACCCGGGCATGTGCCCTGACTGGGAATTGAGCTGCGATCTCCTGGATTCTAGGTCGATGCTCAACGGCTGAGCCACACCCAGCCTGGGTGGTTAATGCATATCTTAACTGTAAGGCTCAGATATTTGTCCCAAACCTTCTGGAGTGAGGGTAATCTTCTACCTAATTCCCTTGCATCAGGCCTCATGATAGATGTGGCCCCGAGTTCCTAGGCCCTCCTATGTGTTGTGATATTATAAAGAACTTATTTGGTTTTTCTCTTTGGTACCTGGTATAGAGTTTCAAAAACCCTTAGAGGAGGAGAGTTTCAAAAACCCTTAGAGGAGGAGGGTGCAAGGGGGATAGATGGTGATAGAAGGAGACTTGGCTTGGAGTGGTGAACACACAATATGGTGTACAGATGATGTGTTGTAGAATTGGGCACCTGAAACCTATATAATTTTGTTAACCAGGGCCACCCCAATAAATTCAATTAAAGAAAAACTCTTAGAGTTTCTTGAGTGATATAAGTTTTTTGTGCTAATGAGGTACTCATGGTGGGCCCCTAGATAGCTTCAGAATGGAAACTGTTCACCAGAAAGACTAAGCACATGATTAGAGGTTGGGACTTTCACTGTCCAAATTCCTGGCAGAGGAGGAAAACTGAACACTGAGTTCAATCACACTGCCAATGTTTGTATCAACCATGCCTACACTCTGGATGCCAAAGCTCAGCGGAGCTTCCTGATTGGTGAACACGTTGATGTACAGCAAGGACAACGTGCCCTGATCCCCAGAGAGGGCATGGAAGCCCTGCGCTCCCTCCCAGACCTTGGCCTATGTGTATTTTTAAAAAAACATATACAGATTTTTATTGATTTTAGAGAAAGGAAGGGAGAGGGAGAGAGAAATAGAAACATCAATGATGAGAGAGAGTCATTGATTGGCTGCCTACTGCACACCCACTGCTGGAGATTGAGCCTGTAGCCAGGACATTGAACCTCGATCTCCTGGATCAGGACTATGCTCAACTGCTGAGCCATGCTGGCCGGACTCTGTGTATTCTTTAAAAATAAAACTGTAATAACTAAGTATGGCATTTTCTTGGATTCTTTGAGTTGTAGTGAATTATTGAACCTGAGAGGGGGTCATGGGAACCCTTGAATTTGTAACCAGTGAGTCAGAAGTGTGGATGGTCTGGGGACCTCACTTGTGGCTGGTGTCTGTAGGGCAGTCTTAGGGAACACTGAGCCCTGAAACCTGGGAAGGCTGATGCCTAATCCAGGTGCTCAGCATCAAAATTGTATTGAAGTATACCCAATGGGGGTGAAACAGAACAGGTTTCACCCCCCAAAATATTCAGCTCACAAAAATATTCCGTTTTTTCTAACTCTCTTTCTCTCACTTCTGGTTAGGGTTAGGATTAGGGTTAGGGTTAGAGTTAGGGTTATCTCCCTCTACATATGCCCCTCTGCTTGCCCACTTCTAGGGTTTGCTATTTCTTTCTATAGAACAAACCCCAGTCTCTTAGTGTCCTCGTGTCTAAGAAATGTTGCAGTGTTGGTTATGAGAGTAGAGTTCCTTTTCCAGGCAGCCCTAATAGAGAATTTGGCTTAGAAGAGACTTGACTCTGATCTCAGTATCTGGACTGTCTCCACAAGAGGTCAGCATGAGCAGCAGGGGTTGGGAAAGGGAAACTGTGATTCTACGCATAAAAGAGGGATTTTTACCCTAGCAATCTTGTGCTCAACTATTTGAAGTCAAACACACCTCACCACCACAAGGATGATTTATTTCCTTTCCCTCAAAATAAGAAATTTCCATTTCTTCTAACCTTGGCCTTATTATGCCAGGGGAGCATTTTTCCTCTCCCTGCCTGCTATGGATGAAAAGTTTGTACTCAACCTTCCCCAAACTAATGTGTTAAAACCCTAATCCCCAATGTGATGGTATTTGGAGACAGGGCCTTTGGGGCGTAATTAGGTCATAAGGGTGGAGTACTCATGATGGATTAGGGCCCTAAGAAGAGACAGAAGAGAGCTTGCTTTCTCTCTGCTCTCTGCCCTGTGAGGATACAATGAGAAAGTGTCAGTCTGGAAACCAGAAAGCAGCTTTCATCAGACACTGGATCCATCAGCACTTTGCTCTGGGACTTTCAGCCTCCAGAACTGTGAGAAATAAATGTTTGGTGTTTAAGCCACCCAGTCTATGGTATATGTGTTACAATGGCACAGATTATATTTTCACCTGAAATAACTAAAAATAATCTTGTCAAGTCAAAATATCTTTTCCTCTAATGTTAGATTTTTACTCATTTGGGACTGAGTGGTGGTGACAGAAGTTTGGGTTCATTTATTCATGAAGACTTAATGGAATTAAAATTGGACCAACCCAGTTACAGAAATATCAAGGCTATAAGTGGTTACACTCTGTTAAAAAAAAAAAAAAATAGAATTTATATTTTTCAAAATTTTATTTACAAAATTTACTTTATTTAAAAAAGTATATATATGTTCCATGATATAAACTTCTAGACATAGTAAATTTAAAAACAGCATAATGGAAAACATAAAAATCCATTTTTTCCCCTATGTATATCTTCTGCGCATTTATTGTCTTTTGCTAGGTTTGCATTTTTATTTATTTTACAGTCTGGTTCACACTTATAGTAAAAACATTCTAAATATCATAGACAAGTATAAAGCAAAAAGTATAAATTTCCTTTCCTCCACCCCCTCCTCCGATATTGGGGAATATCCTTTCAAACTTCAACCACACTGACATATTTTTGTTTTTTACATAAATGGCTTCACATTACATGTTGTTCTGAAAAAAACTTGATTTTTTTCACTGAACACTGTTATGGAAATCTTTCATGATAGTGCACTTAGAGCTACTTCATTCTTTTTAATGGTTGTACTGTATTTCTTTATGTACCAATGTCTTTTTAGCCAATTCCCTAATGATGGCTATTTAAGGTGTTTCCAACATTTTATTAACAAAAACAATGCTGCAACAAATGTTGATAGCTTATCTAAACAAATGCAGTTATTATATTTACTTGCATAGCCGTACATCTCTCTCCTCCTTTCAAGTCAGATGTTTTTCATGAAAGTTGATGTATTAAAAATGACTAATGGAAATCGTGGGTAATATCTGAACTAAAAAGGAAAGAATCATGGTTTTAATAACCACATTTTTTACTAAGTCATATTCATGTCAACAAATGGGAAAGCCATGTGAAACTAACTCTTTTAAAATGTTATGACTGAGTTGTTACGATGGAGGATTATCTATGAAGGCTGTTCCCTCCCGATGGAATTTCTCCAGGGGTTCCATTTAATTTCTTAAGCACATCCTTTTTGTTCCACCCCCAGATGCTGCCTGGTTTGTCTCAACTTGCTTTTAATTGTTTGGTAGCAGATGACATAAATTTTAAAACTTTAAGGTGTTTCTAAAGCCATTAGCCCTCAGGAAGGACCTGGGGTTGGAGGGCAGGAAGATATGAGGGAGGGCAAACTTTCTATAATCTCGGCTCTGAAGAGCCCCAAACTCCATGTGCAATATAAATAGGACACAGACTCAGTAAGGTCTGGTCTCACTGCAGCTTGCCCTTTAGTTTATATTTGTGCACTTGTGCATTTGAAAAACTGTTGGGTATTAGAGTTTTCCAAGGACACTTGGCTCTGATTACACTGTTCCTAAATGTGATTTTGCTCTTATCTAGTTAAGAAAAGTCTTACTGATCTTCAAAACAGGATATGACTGCTTTAAAGTTGGTACATTGTTTTCCGGATTGAGTAAATATTTCAATTTGGGAAGCAAATCTTTTAAGACTGGGAGTGTGGATAAGTTTGTGCTTTTTGGAGTGTGGGTCTTCAGTTAACTGAATGTTGTATTGGTGGTATTATGAGGAGTGTATACTGAATTTCTGGGCTGTAAGTCTTAAATCTGGACCCTGGCCTAAAAGGCAGAGGAAATTTCCATTTTTTTTAAATCTTAGCAATGCAACCCAATGGAATAGAGGAGAGGTGCAGTGAGGATGGATGCTTGCCTTTGTTGTTGGCTTATTTGTGGTATCCCAAGCTACCAGGCTTCCTGCAGCTTGTTGCAGAGGTTTCCAAGTATCCTTCAAAAAGATTAAAAATAACTACAGATCCCCACCTGACTAGAGTTACCTTATCTATTCAATATATAGATAAAGAATGGCCCCTGCTGCGTGCTCTCATCTATTTCAATAACTAGATGTTGTCCTCGATGAGTGTACAACCCAAAGATATTGGTAATTACTAGCTTAAGGCACAATTTGTCTCAGGTGTTGGTAAAACTTAGCTAAAAAGATATGAGTGAGCTTTAAAAATATATTCCCTGAATAGAGTCCAGGCTATTGTTAAAAACAGACTCATCCTCCTCTTACCTTATCAGACCTTCCAAGAGTTGGCTTGCTATTACTGAATGTCAAAAGCAGCTTGTAGGAGCAGAAACTGTGCAGTCGGGGGGAAAAACATCCCCCGCACAAATATTTTTCTTCATAACTGGAAATGGAAGAGCGAAAGTGAACAAGGGATATAAACAAGCCAATAAAAATGATGTATATGGTTTCCTAGAGAGTGCTTTATATTTTGGCAAGCCTCTCGACTATGATCCCCGAATTTTCTTTTTAGAGAAACTGTGAATGCAGATAAGAGCAGTTGTTACTCAGAAGAAATTAATACCTGAAAATATTGAGATTGCTCTACCCACCCACATTGTCCTCTGGGTAAAGTCTTCCAAGCTGTGTTCTTTTCAGCTTAGATTCTATCTGAATGCTTCCATCGAAGACACAGCCAGTGTGCACAAGAGTGTCCATCCGGCTGACCTAAAGCTCTTCTCTTAAAGCTCTTTTCCTGTGGCACTGGCAGATGGACGTGTTATCATCGGGCTGGGAAACAAGTTCCATTCCATCACGTATTTCGGGTTTGCTGGACTGGCGCTCAGCATATTTCTGAAATGTGTTTTTGAAGGTAACAGAAAGATTAGCCCACGCTTCGTTCCACTCCTTCCTTCCCAATCATGCTGTCATTTCTAGTTGCTGCCCACCAAAGGTCTGGCTAGGATGGGTTATTCCAGTCCTAAATTTACATTTTAACCAAGGCAATATTTCATACTCTAACAAGGAACCCTAATCCACAATTTTATGTGTAGGTAGGAAGCGTCTACAAAAAGGATGTCAAGCCGAGTGTCCTTGAAACAGCAGCACCGATTAGCATTTATCCTTCGCTTGTTAATGGGTAGTTAGCCTTATCAAATATTCAAATCAGGTGATAAGCATCGTAAAATAAAGTTGGTGGTCTCACACATCCTTCCCTTTAGGCCTGTAGTCACACACGTTTTGGAAATGATGACAGGCCTGTGAAACGTTCCTCTTCTTTGGCCACTAACAAATACTCCTGTAAACTGTGTATTTCAGTTCAGTGGTTTCAAGTACATTGGGCTGTACACTCCTGGTCCAGGGTCAAACCCAACAAAACACTGACATGACTACATGAGCCTAATTAATATTGTAGGGAAGGAAACTCCTACTAGCCCAGCAGAGGGAACACAACTCATCTAAGGGAAAGGTTGCTTGTAGTAAATGGTGTAATTTATCATTTAAGTTTTTCTATAAGAGGTTAGTATCCACAAGCATCTGAGGAAATTTACTTTTTTTTCTACTCACATAAAAATAAGTTTAGGTTAAAAACAAGAACATGATTTCTTATCTTTTTTCCTCCCGGCTAGATTTTAATGAGTAAGGGTAGTTACTCAAAGAACCAATCCTTGGATTCCCAACAGCCATTTGTACAGTACTTTGTTAGTTAGCCCTAAGGTGTTGGAACTATTATACATATCCTTCATTCGTTTGTTTTATGTAGCAAGCTAAATATTTGCTTTCCATCCTGTGCTGTGATAGCAAAAGCATGTATCTTAAGTAGTACAGAGAACAAAGGGGGACATTTTGAGTGCAAAGAGATGTTAATGACCTTTAGTCCAACCCTCTACTTTTCCATATGACAAATTCCATACGGCATTTAATAAAAGATAGCACTGTCAAGATAGGAGGAGCTGTTCATCTATTTTCGTAAGGCTCTAAGTATTGTTTTTATAATACTGAATGGAGATAAAAATATGTTGGCTACAAAGGGACTTAGCACTACTCCTGCTTTGCATAGGCCGGTGCCTCAGCTTAACCGCAGTTCCACAGGCTGACTCTCTGAAGCCCCCCAGAATTGAGGTACTCAGGCCAAGCATAACCCAGCAGGACGGATACTCTGCACTGACCTGCAACACTCTGTAATAATAGCAGTAAAGCCTGTGCGGCTGTAGCAAATCTCTGGCAGTCAATTGCCCTTCTTTTGCAATCCTCTCAGCTTCTTCATCATTTTCCTGAAAGGTTTAAAACAAAACAATGAGTGAAAATTGCTCCTGTGACCCACAGACAAAGCTGAAGGTGAGTGTGAGACAGGACAGATGCGGGGCTGAACATGAACAGCATGGGAGAGATGGAACATGATGAAAATAAAACTTGAGAGCGGGCTATGGAAATGGACAGAGTACTCTCCTAGATATCTCTGTTACATGGAAACGATCGTGCACATTTGTACCCATTCTACAGGCCCAGAAACAGCCTCCACTCCCCGCAAAGTGCAACAACCACATGCAGCCTCTATTGTGACTATCTTGGTACTTTCCTGGAGACCCACGAAGTTTAGAGCTCATCATCTGTTTCCCCATTCTAGCCTTCTCGGTTTGATATTAAAATTCAAACTAGAATAGAATGAATCCGTTTTCATGTTGTACCATCTCTTAAAAGCCCCATTTAAATATGCAATCAGAGTCCCCAAGTTCTTATAAAAGGTTACCAATGAAAGACATTATTGCTGTTGTAATAAAAATTCAGTCATTAGTACCCACAGGCTGTTCCTTCAGTTCCAGGAATAGTTAGCATTCCTAATTATATTTTGGGAAAACAGTTAATATTCTACCATGCTGCCCATAGGAAAAGCCATTTGCAAGCCATTCTGACTCTTTATTAAGGGCCACAAAAATTATTCTGCCTTAGGCACCCAGTTATTTCCATAACCAAATATTGCTTCTTAGAAACTTAGAAACAGAATAAAGTCTTACAATGGAAGGGTAAATGTTTATAGTTTCATAATAAAACACAGTAATTTTTAATACTTTTACTTTGAAAAAGAATTCCTGCTCTGGCCCGTTTGCTCAGTGGTTAGAGTGTCAGCCCTCGGACTGAGGGGTCTCCAATTCGATTCCAGTTATGGGCACGTACCTGGGTGGCAGGCTTGATCCCTGGCCGTGGTCAGGGCGTGCGTGGGAGGCAACCAATCAATGTGTCTCTCTCACATTGATGTTTTTCTCTCTGTCTCTCTCTCTCTCCCTTCCACCTCTCTCTGAAAAGCAATGGGAGACTTGTGATTCTTGGGATGTTGTATATCAACTATTTATTATGAACTTGGGCCTTTTTCTAACTGGGGAAAAGAAGAGTGCCATATTGACCTAAATATTTTCTTATGCATAAAGCACTGGAACCTTTTCTTTCTTTCTTTTTTTAAAAAAAATTTTTTTTATTGATTTTTAGAGAGAGAGGAATGGAGAGGGTCAGAGAAAAACATTGATGTGAGAGTGGAACGTTGATTAGCTGCTTCCTGCACGCCCCCCTAACAAGATCAAACCCGAAACCGGGAATCAAATCGGCAACCTTTTGGTGCCCAGGACGACATCCAACCAACTGAGCCACACCAGCCAGGGCTAACCCTGGTCTTTTCAACCTGTAATTTGCATTTGGAGTATTTTTGCTTATTTGTGTATATGCATAAATAGTAATTTCTTTAAAAAAAAATCTACACTCTATATAACAATGGACTTCAAACCTTCTAAAAATCTTCAAAAATGTTGATAGAGGGTATATCAAATAATACTGATATTGGCTCTTTAGCTATTTCAAAGGAATAAAATTTCAGAAAACATTTCTTTTGACTAAATAATGTCAAATTAAATTGTGTTATGAGGGAATTCATGAAACTAATACTGGTTAATTTGTTATTGCCTAAAGAAACTAAAATTCCGAAAGTGTACCTTGGCCCATTTAATTTTCTCAAGTAAATCAGCAAGGTTTCTTTTAATTGGCACATAATGTTTCCAAGGCTTTAGTGCTGTGTAAAAATGTTCATAATATGGTGAGTCCTGCTTCAGAACCAGACTGTCCCCCAGCATGAGATACGGATATCTGTAAGCGGCCACCGTCCCATCCACACTCACTTGATACTTGTACTAAAAGATCAAGACAAACAGAAACAAAAATTTTAAGTCACTTGCTTCATTTCTGCTTCTCATTAACCCTGTAATACTAAATATAAAGGAATTAATTTCCACTATCTAACTTTATTGTTTAACAGTTTTGTATTTTATTTTGTAACTCACATTTTCTCTTTGTATTATAATCATAAGCAGCCGCTAGCAGGTCAATTTTAAGAAATACAATGCATTTAAAGATAAAATCATAAATAATTTTAAGAAACAGGAATACCTATTTCAACTATGTCTATATAATGGGGAATTCAGATTTCTGCAACAAGGTAGAAAAATTATTTTTAAAAATTTTATATTTATTACACTGAATATTGGTAACCATTTAAAATTTTACTTATACATTTTTTTGTTTGTTTCTTACACCCATGAAAAAGGAAGGCAGTATTCAAAGTTCAGTTTCAGAGTTGGGAGAGACAGAAACCTGGAGGGATCTGGACTAGCATGATACTAGTGACACAGTACATGCTCCGTTTACATATTTGTTGGCGTAATAAACTTTGATTTGCACTTCAAAATCACTTCTCATGGGCATTAAACCTCATTCAATTATAATAATATGAAGCAGGTATTAGTATCACCCCCCCTTTTTTTTTTTTTACAAATGAGAAAACTAGTGTCCAGAGAAATTTATAAACCTCTCTTTTCTGTGTCCAGATCCCTTGTTCTTTTCATTATATCACACTGAAATGAACAGAATACACTCAGAAACCTAGTCATTAAATTTGTCTTAAGTAATCGATGCCAAGGAGTTTACTAGTCAGTCAGGTTCCGTCGTACTGTTCACACGTGTGTGTCCTCTGAGCCTCAGGACAGTGCTCTGGGGAGCGAGGCAGGCAGTGGCCGTGCTCAGAGGGCAGACTCAGCAAGGGGCGAAGGCTCCACAGGGAGCGGCAGAGGCAGGACTTAACCCCAAAGCCAGCTCCTATGGAATTTATACTCTTTCGATTTACAAAAGGCATTTGAAATTGTTTTATATAAAAGACATTTACATACCCAGTTTGTTAAGAAAACAAATATAAAAAGAAAAACAAAGAAATGCACCCAAACTCCAGGTTAATCCTTTTGAGTATTAAATATAGTTCGGAGCTATTTCACAGACAAAATTAACAACAGGAAACCACAACGAATTTTGTCATTGCCACCCCTGATAAGAAAGTGTGTGTCAGCTCACAAGATTGAAGAAGACGGCCCAAGTTCTGCTATCTACAAATTTATCACTTCATACCCATCCAGGAAGACTTACATGCATACCTTAAAGAAATCAAAGAAACCTATCAATTTAGCTTTTCCAAGCTCCTTTTCTTTCTCTTGGAAAAAGAAATACCCTGTGATTCCCGCATCTAGTAGCTGTGGATTTTCCTTGGACAGCTGTACCAACTGGAGCCTCTCCTCTCGGCTATCTCTACCTCTGAAGAAAGCTTTCTCTGTTTTATTGATCCAGGAAGGCCCTAGAAGTTCAAGACCATAAGAAAAAAAAAAAAAGTTATGAATTTAAAACTTTTATATGGTAAATATAATTATCTTTAATCTAACATTGTCATCTAAGATGTTAAAGCTCTTTTATCATCAACACATCTTCTAAATTAAATGTTATTTCCAAAAATTATGGGATTAGAATGCTCTAGTTTCATTCATTTGTGTGCTAGGGAGAGCTCACTCAAATGTTGGAGTTTCTGTTGTACAACATTAGAAAATATCCAAAATAATATTGGATCAAGTTCAAAACAAAAAGAGATTCAATGACTTGGCCTACTCACTGAGACATTAGCTTCTTCCATCTTTTGTGCTTCATAATACAAAAGGAGCTAGGCTTCTGTCCTTAGACAAGGTGACCAGAACAAGCTATGTAACTAAGCAACACCCATACACCGTTTATCCTTATGTTGCTCAGACTTATGAGCACTCACTTTAAAATATATATATATATCTTTATTGATTTCAGAGAGAGGAAGGGAGAGGGGGAGAGACAGACAGAAACATCAATGATGAGAGAGTCACTGATTGGCTGCCCAGTGCTGGGGACCGAGTCTGCAGTCCAGGCATGTGCCCTGACTGGGAACTGAACCACTATCTCCTGGATCCTAGGTCGATGCTCAACGGCTGAGCCACGCCGGCTGGTGGGGCTGAGCACTTACTTCTGAGTAAAGGGAAGACTTCTGCTAAAATGCTGGTAAATGCAAATATATAGGGTGTCCCAAAAAAATGCATATGCACTTTAACAGCTGATAACTCACTTAATTTTCACTCCTTTTCAGGTTTAACTGACTTGAAATAATGAGTGAAGCCAAACTAAGCTTTGAACAAAGAAAATTTATCCTAAAGTGCCACTAGACTTTTTTTTCATGGGGATACAAAAAAGATAAAGTTTATGATACAAAACCCGCAACAGTTGACAAATTGAGGGCACATAAATACCAAATGAAAAGATTCTTGATGTTTGCGATTCCACTGCTTCGCCTTATCAGCAGTGCCTGGACCAGAATGGTCATCAGTTTGAAAACACTGACAAAAAAATTATTCATTTCTGTAGATTCTTTTAAATTTTGAAAATGAACTGTATGTTAATAAACACTGACTTAATAATCATTCGAAGTGCATATACATTTTTTTGTGACATCCTGTATATACACAAGTATACGTACTCTCTTTCCTAGTGGGAAAATATTCTGGAAGAATTAATTTAAATGTTTCTATTATTCTAAAGAGAGGTCATTAGTTAGCACCTGTCCGTGTTCTAAGGGATAATAAAACATAGAAATTGGAGGAGATCAAACTCATTACTATGATAGCACACTTTTCAGAAATTCACTGTTATCAAATAAAAAGTAGGTCGGTTTTCATTTCATGTCATCTTTGGACAGTTTACAAGGAGCCTCTGGTCTTGTCTACGGAATCAGTCCACAAACCACAATAAACAGAAAGAGGCTATAAAGAGGAGGCAGGGTTTCTTCTACTCAGGAGTTCAACTGAATGAAAAGGTGGGTTGTGCCATAAACCTACAGCCATCAAACAGGGAGAAAGGAATTCAGACTTTAAAGAATCTAAAAGGCAGAAAGAGGAAAGGGGAGGGTTTCTTAAAAACGTTGGAGTCATAATATGCAAATTATATTGCTATCATATTTTCTTACACATGCATAGAATTTTATACTTCTCAAAATTCTCTCTCACTTCATCTAGCAATATAAAAGCACTGGAGTCAGAATTAAGCTAAGTGACAATTTTACCAAATATATATGTTGAAATAGTATTTACAAGTGACCAACTCAAAAGAGATTCAGATATGATAGGTTGGGACATTACTAGCCCAGCTCATGTATCTTTAACTTTTGGATTAGAAGAATCCTAAAGAAACCTCTTTAGAATTTAGGGCACTGTTTTTCTTTTTTCTTGGTTAGAAAATAAGAAAAATGGTTATTTAAATTTATCCATATACTCTCCCTGCCTAAGCATCCCCTTTGCCTTTTCTTTTCACCTCTAAGCTTTTTCTTAGATGATGAGCCTGAATTTACCTGTATTTCCCTGAATAGAGAGGAGATCATTTGTAACACCCCTCATTGCTTCAAGTGTGGAGTGGGTGACGTCATACGTAGGAAGGATAATATCTCGTGAATCCAGAGAGCCACACCATGAAATGATAGGCAAGGGGCCAGGCGTCTCATTGACTTTTCGATGCTCCAAGGGCCAATCTCCTAGATTAATGTAAAATTCTAAATCTGGGAGAAGGACCTAGGTAAACAAAAATATGAACATCAGCGCTGGGAAGACCTCAGTCTTTGGTATAAATGCTTTAGTTCTTTGGCTTCCTTAAATATTTCTGATAAAACGGAACATTTAAAAATAGCATCAAGAAAGAGGAGAATGCCTCCCAGCCCTCAGTAGTGTCAGAAAATCTAGGCTGAGGATGCTGCAGGGCCAATTCACTTCACCAGGAGTCGGCTACCTCTGTTCAGGGGTGACGTTTTTAATAGTTTAGTATTATAGAGGTTGAAATTGTGTAGATAGGTATGAGCGAGTGGCTGTCTTTCTGGCCGCTGCCCAAGTGAGAATCTACAAAGATCGACTCAAGCTCTTGTCTTCCGTCTCTATAAAACCTCTTCATCGCATCTGCCTTTGATTCTGGAATCTGCTGCCCCTCTCCACCTCCATGGTCAATGCCGTAGGTTTAGGCCTTTAGCATCGCTGGCCTATCCTGCTGCAATAGCTTACTTACTAGGTGTTCTGATGCTAGACTCTCCCCACTCTAATCTGCTCTCCACATTGCTGCCCAGATTTCAAAAACCCAAGTTAATATCACTACCAGGCTTCACAGAGACGTAAGCCTTTAAGGACCAGGTCTAAACTCTCTGGCTAGAATTCAAGGCCCTACTACCTTGCTCCAGCTCAGCTTTGAGCCTCATTTTCCATCTGCTTATGTGCCAGTAAACTTTAGGCTACTCTCTGAAAATGCCACCCACCTTAATATGTAATTCTCTGCAGTTGGAATGTTCACTCAGCGCTCTCCTTTCTCATCTTAAACCCAAATCTAATCTTACTGCCTCTATGACTCCCAGGCATTTTAACCTGGGTCCCTCCTTTTCTCTCAGGCCTATCATGTTGTGGTACAATTACTTATTTGCATTCACATCCCACTCTCACTTCCAAATAACAAAAACAAGTCCCACTAGAATGAGGAGCTCTAAGACCAGGAGTGAGTCTCATTTATCTTAGATTTCTTCCCAGTCACCAGGCAAAGAACCTGGAACAACAGGAAAGGGAAAGAGATGTGACTATATACCCTACTGCTTCTCTAATATCATTTACAAGCTCATTAATAAACCCCACACCAGGAGGTCTCACCACAGAGCAGGGTTTCTCAAGCTCAGCACTGCTGACGTTCTGTTGTGGGTAATTCTTTGCTGTGGGGGGCCGTCCTGTGCATCGTACAATGTTTAGCAGCATCCCTGGCCTCTACCCACCAGATGCTAATAGCAACCCCCTAGTGGTGACAGCCAAAAATATCTCTAGACATTGTCAAATGTTCTCTGAGGCAAAATTATCCCTAGTCAAAAACCACGAGTACAAGATACAGGAATACAGGCCAGGGTGCCTGGTAGCAGCCCCAGAAGAAAGCACCACCTTTAGAATCAGGTGCCCCATGTGTTCATATTGTGGGATGGTGGGGAGGGGGGAGGCAGCTGCTATTTAAAATCAGGAATGATTGCAGCAGCACATTCAGCATGCTCGGGAAACTGTATTACTCATATCAGGAAAGTTGGCTTTTGGTTAAGAAAACGACCTTGATGGTCTTTCTGGCTGAGAAACGTAAAGTTGCCCATCTTCACGCCTCCCTCTACGTGGTCAGGAAAAAAGAACAAAAGTCACTTGCAATTACTCTGCTTAAGAGTTTTGCAAATGGGAAAAGAAGGGCTGAACAGAGGAATCGGTGGTGGGAGGTGGTTGAAAGTCTGATTAACACAGTGATACCGGTTTTTAAATGTTAGAGTTTTTGTTTATTGATTAATTGATTTTACTATGTGCAAAATAACCATTCTCTGTTACTCCACCCTTCAACAAAATGTGCCGTACACAGTGTCTTTCAGAGGTGCTTAGGGCAAAACAAGGCACATAATTTTCTAAAGTCAAGTCGTGCTGAGGTTGGTAAGAAGAGAGCTGCAGAAAGTAACATCTGAATGGAAGGAGCATTCAGCAGGAATGGAGAACTTGAGGCTGCCGACGTCTGAGAGTTCACAGAAACCTTGGGATGCCCTGTACCCAACTCATCTGGGATGAAGGCTAAAGTCATTTAATGTAAATAATAAAGGAAATGGGGACCCATGGATGTGGAGAGCTTACAGACACTCAGGAGGTGGACACCTTACATGCACATTCCCAAGCCTGGAATCTCTTTCCATCCTTTGTCATTCTCCTAAGCATTTGAATGTGATGACTACGTACTTAAATTATATTGTTTTTAAAATCAGTGAATTCATGCTCGTACCTTTCTCGCCAGTGACAGCAAAATCTCATCTGAGAACATTTTGAAGTCCGTGTATTTCCCCAGAGGTCTCCGGTAGATGTGGTTATTGAGAATCGTGTAATGAACGATGGCACCCCTCTCTTCCCCAAACCTTTTTGGGACTTCATTCAGCATCTGCTGGAGATTAATGCTGGGGAAAGGAGCAAAATCTTCTGCAATCTGCGGTTCTTTGGTTGGACAAGAGAGAGTTTCTTGCCAGGCCCGGGGATCCTCTTCTGGACACTCACAGTACTCGTGGTATACTGGTCCTAGGGAAGGCAAAACACATATAATGCCACACTTTATTAACCAGCAAGGCAGAGAGTTGTTCCTGGCCCTGATGTGAACATGGGAGGACTTCTTGGTGAAGTCTAAGATTATGCAGACAGGGAAAATCTGCCCTAAACACATCAGTGGGGAAAGCAGTTATGTCAGAATCCTGTGCTTCTACTTTCTGTCTCCCTTTCGTATCCTCCTAGACAACCTGGTACAGCACGTGCTCTCTCCCAATATAACCTACCCTCAGTTAGCTGACAAATTTATTTCTAATGGGTTGGCTGATAAATGCAATGCAATTTACCTTATACAAAGAATGAAGAGTACTGGAAATGGAACTACATGGCTAAATAGACAAGATTTAAAAAAATTATCACTTAAATCTCTTTAAATTACTTAGTTTTCTTTTTCTTAAAATTTCAAGTTAAATTGAGCTTCAGCAGGTACGTATTCTAGGTTTACTTGGTTACATATGATTTCAAGGTCATCATAATCCATTCTGAAAGGCCTAAAATCTACGCATGAGGCTGGCTCTGGATTAGGTAATAATCACTTACCTTTCAAAATATAGGGAGACTGGGCAACATGTTCATCACCATAAAGGACCTCTATCTTCAGCCCTTCATTGACAGTTTCATACATCCGATATCTCACCAAAAACGTTCCATCGTTCCTGTCCAAAGGTTTAGGGACATGAATCCGGACTGACTCTTTAGGTGAAAGAGATTTGATTACTACTTTGAATTGTGTTTGACCTGAAAGAAAAAGACAAATAAATAACTCTACTACTTTGTAGTTGCTTTGCTGTAACAATCAGTGGATAGCTGTATCTATACAGAAGTTTATTTTTCTAGTATCAATAGTTTGGAAGATCCTTGAGGCCAGAAACTATTCTGGTTTTTGTCTTCCAACCAAAGACCTGAGTCAGCACTGATTCATTAGTGATTCAATCAAGATTTATTGAATGAAAAAAATTAATTCATAAAAAAGCAAGGAAGAGATTAACTTTTTGCCTATCTGATCTTTTCTCATCTGGTTAGGTTTAAAGCCCAAGCAGTTAAAAATCCGTGAATCTTGGAATAACAGAGCTCTAAAGCAATCAATCTTTCTCCTTGTAAGACACACAGCAGCTTTCTTTGTAAACCACTGTAATACCAAATAATCCCCATTTCTGAGGAAATTTTCTTCTTGCTAACCCAAATTTCAAGTTATACGTCTCAGTCCATTTCCTAAGTAGAGAGAGATTATAGCTAGTTACCAGACCATGCACAAATACACACACCCACTCATACACCTTTATAACTACTAGAGGGTACTTCTCTAAGCTTGTTTCACCAGGCTGAAATGAAATAGTTACACAATTTTGTGGGTTTTCTGTTCTAGGGTAAAAGGTTAGGGTTCGGTGGTATGCAGGCAGGCTAAATAGCCATCTCAGACACTGGATAAAGAAAAACGGAATTTACTTAATTAAAAGGGAATGGGGATATCCAAAGGTAAGGGCTACACAGCACTGAGTCAAAGGGCATTAGGCCGTGATGGCAGCAAAACCACACTTGGGACAGTGAAACAAGGCAGAGCATAGAAGCAGCGACAGGAGAGCCCAGGCTGGGCTGCTGGGGCTCACTGGGAAGTCAGAGAGAGAGAAGGGGCCTTGGAGACAGGTTCAGGGGGTGAGCCCAGGACGAGCTGCTACTGCCCACTGCTCCCCTGGTTGCAAGTCTTGTGGGGTCCCCTCCAAGTGATGGAGATGGTGCTGGGATTCTCCCCTGCTGGGGAGCACACACTGGGTCCTTTGTCCTGAGTATATTTATCTCTTTCTTGCAGGTGGGAATCTTAGGGGAGGTCTCAGGGGAGGGTCTCAATAGAATATTCATCAGCTTTCCAGGGGTGCTCCTTCAGGGTCGTGGTCTCCACTGATTGGTTGGTGCCAGGGAAAGGGGTCCATAGTCAATGTACCTGGTCCTGAGGCAGCCAAGGTGCCATTTTTCTGGTTTGGCTGCTTTTCTGGGCCTGGAGCTGAAATCCAACTGAGGCCTAGATGTTATCTTTAGGGAGGAAACACTCAGGGGATCTAAACCACATGACCAGCAATATGCTGGGGAGGACAGGTTNGGGGTCCATAGTCAATGTACCTGGTCCTGAGGCAGCCAAGGTGCCATTTTTCTGGTTTGGCTGCTATTTTGGGCCTGGAGCTGAAATCCAACTGAGGCCTAGATGTTATCTTTAGGGAGGAAACACTCAGGGGATCTAAACCACATGACCAGCAATATGCTGGGGAGGACAGGTTACCCTGGGGACAAGGTTCTTGTTTTCCCAGTTTCACCCCTTGCTAGGCATCCTGCCCTGGTGAGTCTCCGTACCTGCGTTTCTGTACCTGGCCCATCTAACAGCAGGTTTTACTTTTTCTTATGGGTTAGGAGAAAGATTCTCAGTCTCTTCAATTTGGTAACAGTAATGTAGTATCTGACATCTTGTTATTAAATAATACCAAACACATATGTTTTCAGATATTTGAAATAAATGTGACAAAATTATAAAAGATATCTGCTAAAAGAAATGACCTATAATAAATAAATATAAGGGGTGGTTGTAAAAGGAAGATAATAATATAATGTTAAATTATTTAAAGTGTTGGCCAATTATCTGAAATGCTTAATGAAATACCTAAGTTATTGATTTGTGTTATTGGTTCCAGAAAGGCAAGTAGAGTGAAAATCAGGGAGGCAGAGCCTGGGGGCTAGAAAGCCATTTCCACTAGTCCCTCCCAGACTAGAAACAGTACAGAAGAGTTTTCTTGTCTCCTGACCAGATAGTCCTGCTCTCCATAAACTTATGATTTTAATAAACAAAACAAATATAAGACAAGCAAAGTAATGACTGTGAGATCTTTTGTTTATTTTTATAGTAATCTTTCATACCCATGTCATTGTTGGCATGAAATTAATGTTAGAATCAATGCAAAATAATAATAATAGAAATAAGCCATTCCAACCTCATAAAAGAGAAAAATGAGAAAAATGCAATTGCAAATTGCTTCAAAATGGAGGAATGTAGATTCGTGCGTGCCCTGGGGGCTAATATAATGCAACAGAACTGGAGCTCAGCTTGTTTTTTTACTCCAAAAATTCAAAAGCTAATGGAATGAGAATGCAGTGACTATGTAGACAAAAAGGAGGTTGGCAGTTTCAAAGGCTTACATCATTAAAATCAGAAATTTTGAAGACTTCTGATATGGAAAGAAATAAAAAACATTTGAAAAAAATACTCGCTTAGCACTTCGTGCCAGTCCATGAGCTTGATGTTTTCACATGCATTTTCTATCTCATTTCCTACGAGAACTTGTTAGGTAGGTATTGTCACCCCCATTCTACAGGTCAGGAAACCAAGGCTCCCTTGAAGAAGTTAAGTAACTCACCAAAGTCACATACATAGGAGTCGCTGAGCCAATATTTGAACACAGCTTGAATCCTTTCAAAGCCCATCCTGAACCCACCTGGTCACACTGCGTACTGTTAGCACGCAGGTTCGCAGAATTCAAAGTTGGAGGAATATCCTCTGGCACTCCTGGTGAATGGAGTTATGGCCACTCCCCCCACCCTGGTTGTTTAGAAAGTTTATGAAGGCTCTCTGCAGCTGCAACAAAAGTGTTGGCCCCACAAGACCGAGGGAACAGAGTCCCTCCCAGGAGGCCAACTGGTTTTGCCTGGAGGCTAAATGGAATCCTCCGGAAAACGTCTGTCTGGCTGGCTGCCGGCTGACCATGCAGGACAATCCTGTTACTGCTGGTGATTTGATTGAAGGGAAAGAGCATTGAACTAGGTATTCCACAGTTGGCTCTGACATTTAATAGCTGTGGGGCCATGGGCAAGGCATTTTAACTTCACTGAGTCTCAGTTTCTTGTGTGTAAAGTGAAAAAGAATAGTATCTCTCCTTCTGACATCACAATTTAGGAGAACACACTAAATAAAGCAAGTTTAAAAAGTAAAATGCTGCCCAACTAGGACGTAAGACTATTTTATGAGGATATATTACTGATGAAGGTAGGAGAGGACCTAGTAGAAAATGAATACAGTTGACCCTTGAACAACCCGAGTTTGAACTGCAAGGGTCCACTAATATGCTGATTTTTTTCAATAAACATGCAATTGGCCCTCCATTTCTGTGGGTTTCACATCTGTGATTCAAACTACCACAGGCTGGCTGAAAACAGTATTTTTTACCCACGGTTGGGAATTCATGGATGTGGAGGGCTAACTATGCATTATTCTATGCCATTTTATACAAGGAACTTGAGCATCTTTGAATTTTGGTATCCATGGGTGTCCTGGAACCAATCCGCCTGTAATATGGAAAAACACTGTAAGTGTTTTGCTGGGGGTGAGCACCCCTAACCCCCACGTTGTTCAAGGGTCAGGTGTATTTGTACCCTACCATCTCGACACATTCTAGCCCCCTTCCCTCCACCCCCTTTCTTTTCTTCTACAATATTTACTGACACTCTCTGCCAGGCACTGTGCTAGATACTGGGAATATAAAAATAAAAATATCAACAGGTTCGACCTATATTTATAATAGAAGGAAATGCTCAATATAAGTGAGGGGGTTAGTGAAAATAAAGATATAGGTAGGTTCTTTTCCCCATCCAAGGTCGTAGACCCCCGAATCCCTGTCTGTGGACTCATTTGAGATCCCCTGATTTAGACCATATGAGTTCCCAATACGTTTCTGTACCTGGAGATACGCAACGTAACAACGGTATTCAGACACTGTTACATGAGAGCGATAATTACCGTAATGAGGGAATCTTGGTAAGCCATGTAAGTCAATCTACAGCTTGGGGAAAACTGCCCCCTTTCCAATTAGTTCTTGGAGCAGGAAACATTTCAGAACTTACAAATGAATGACAGTGGCAGAAGATGTAAGAAACTGGTTGAGTTTGCTCTTCAGAACTATAGTGGCCTGAAAGGAAACAAGTCGAGTCTAAGGGAATGAACGTGAGGTTGTCGGAAAAGATTTGGTGAAAGTCTTTTTTTTTTTTATTCTTAAAACTTTTTGCCTGACTATAAAAACAGTATAATCATTTTGGGGTAAATTTTTCTTGGGAAAAAAGGAGAGTGAAAAAAATTTCCTTCCTTTCTTGCTATCACCACTGATGACACTAATGAGTGAGGTACAGGTTAATTTATTGATTGCAAAATTAGAATGAAACTGTATAGTTTCTTTTCTGTTTATTCCACCCTTAACCTAATATAAGCATTATTAAAGAATCTTTAAAAAAGTTACTTTGAAATTTTAAAAAACTAAAAACCCCACAAGACATAAATTTGACTATCTTAACCTTTTTTTAAAAAAAATATATATCTTTATTGATTTCATAGAGAGGAAAGGAGAGGAATAGAGAGATAGAAACATCAATGATGAGAGAGTCATTGATCGAGCCTGCAACCCGGGCATGTGCCCTGACTGGGAATCGAACCCCGATCGCCTGGATCCTAGGTCGATGCTCAACCGCTGAGCCACGCCTGGCCGGGCATCTTAACCATTTTTTAAACCCTCACGCAAAGATAGGTTTATTGATTTGAGAGAAAGGAGGGGAGCAGGGAGAGAGAGGGACAGGGATGGGTTGCCTCCTACACGGCCCTGACCCGGGGACTGTACCTGTAACCTAGGCATGTGCCCTGGCAGGAATCAAACCCATAACCTTCCGGTGCACAGAACGATGCTCGACCAATGGAGCCACCTGGCCAGAGCAAC